ATTGATTTGACTTTTAAAATTATCTTGACCTTCATCTTCATCTTCATCTGCCTCAACATCTTCATTATTATTATTATTATTATTATTATTATTATTATTATTATTATTATTATTATTATTATTATTATAATCATCATTATTATTATCATTATCATTATCATTATTGTCATTGCCATTGTCATTGTTGTCATTGTCATTGTCATTGTCGTCATTGTCATAGTTGTCATGGTCATTGTCGTAATTGTCACTACTATTACTATTACTATTATTATTATTATTACTACTATTATTATTATTATTATTATCATCATTATTGTTATTGTTGTTGTTATTATTATTATTATTATTATTATTATTATTATTATTATTATTATTATTATTATTATTATTATTATTATTATTATTATTATTATTATTATTAATTTTATTATTATTATTATTATTATGATCATCATCATTGTTATCATCATCATCATCGTTATCAGTATTATTATTTACTACTACTACTACTATTGTAATTGTTGCTTCAAATTGAAAACTGATTGATGTGTTATAAATATATATATTTCTGTTACTAATTTTTTTTTGTTTTATTTTACAGAGAAAAAGAAAAGCGGCTTTAGAACAGAGTAATGTCCTGAAGAAGATCAAAGCAAGGACCTGAGACTAATGTATTTTTTAAGATAAAGGCCTGTATCTTAGTTGTAAGTACATCATGATCTCTCATACACATTATGTGTAGAGGTTGTATTTTTGTGTCTAACTGTGCTTAATATTTGTGGCACGGGAAAGAATATGCATAAAATCAATGGAAATTATTGATTTTGAACATTCTGTCTTTTTCTGCGCTGATATCTCTTATGTGTATTGAATCTTATTTTCTAATTATATGTCATTGGAGTGGGTAGATATGTCATTCAGAAAAGTAGAAATGATATGTGAATGATTTCATGATATTGATAGAACAAGGATAATAAATCTTACGTTTTGAAAATTGTGTTTTCTTCACATTATATATTTTCTTAAAATTTCATTTTTAGCTTTTTCAAATAATAGCCCTAAATAAAAGAAATTGATATATTTTTCATGAGATGCAGTGCTGTTATTACCTGCATATTTGGATCATTGAACTACTCTGGGTCAGCCTTAATTCAGTAGGTCAGAGTTGGGTCATTTGAAATTTAAGTCACTTCAGGGTTGAAAAGTCTTTATCATTCTCATTTATGGACTTATTTATAGTTAGTTTGAATAATTCCATCATATTAATCAGTTGTATATTTAGATGGTAATGAAAAGGAGAATAATGTATAGAATATGAATGAATGTAAACATAACATGCATATATTTCATATATCTTTACTCTGCTTAGTAATGTAAATCAGTTGCATATTTAGATGGTAATGAAAAAGGAGATAATGTAGAATACTTTTTTATATGAATCAATGTAAACATAACACTGCATATATTTATATACAAGGGACAGCTGGGATCTGTCTTTACTCTGCTTGGGTCATATAAATTGGTTGGGTTTAGATGGTAATGAAAAAGAAGATAATGTAGAATACTTTTTTTATGTAAAAGAATGTAAACTTAACATGCATATATTTATACACAAGACACAATTTGCTATTGCACAGGAGTGTTCATGCAGGCCAGGCCTACAATCCACACATCTTGGAAAATAACCACTCAAGTAAGCGTAATGCCCAGATTTTGTTTCGGGCATGGGGCCACAAGGCACCCGGATCCAATGGGATATAAGACTGTAGCAATTTCCAATCATGGCACTGCTATTCATTCTGATAAGTTGAAGATGTACTGTGGTCTTCCAAAATAAACATTTTCCCCACTTTGTTAACTTCACCAGAAAAGGTGTATCACACTTTGATCAGTGGGCTCTACAGAAAGTGGTGAATTTAATGTTTTGTATACATTATAAAGACACATTTGCAGGTTTAGGTATCATTGGTTCTTAGAGCATTTGGAAATTTGTTGTATGATGAGTATGTTAATGAATAATAAGGAAAATTCAAGTAGTAGATTAGGGCAGTGCTTTAAGAGGATTTTGTCTGTTGGAGGTTATATGGTTAAACACAGAGGGTCTAACATAAGGACGTATACTTGCATCAGCTGTAATTTAGTATGGCAAAGTAGGATCACCTGTAGTTCAGTAGACCATTTGGGACAATTGCAATTTAATTGTTTTTTATATTTTGATATGAAGCTTTTGATAGTTGGAGGTCATGCATTAAACCCAATGCTGACGGGCATGACATGTACGTACATGCCATGCCCACTGTGAGTTACTTGTTTGTTTTTACACATAGATGGCTACACTTGTACTAAGTCACCAGTAAGCCAATTACGAGTACTGCCTGTCTTGCCCATTTACGCTTTTCTTTGATTTATGAAAATATTTTACATTATCTTATTTTGCTGTTACTAATGTTTATAACATTATAGTAGTTATAATGTCTATAAAAAAATAACACCATCAATATTCATAGCACTATTAAAAAATACATTTTTCCCGCCAGTTCAAATCAGGTAAGGTCACAAGGTCTACTAAGTGACTCCTTTGTGGCTAAGCACTAGCAGAGCCACAAAAATAAAAAGTGAGAACTGACAAGTGAAAACAAATATTTTTGAGGATAAAGAAAAAATAAGTTGGTGTTTCTCCAGTTTAGATCATAGACACTATTTTAGTGCAAGAATAATTATGAATATTATGGTAATAAATATTTTATCTCCTACTGCTGGGTGCATTTAATCTTGCATCAGATTCATACAGATATCTTGGTAACATGACATGTACATACATGCCATCCTCAGCAGCAGTTGGTTGATAAGTCTTTTATTAATCCAACTTGAAAATTTATCAGATTTAGATTTGCTTGAATAATATATACTTAATAAGTGGCAAGTATGAGTGATGACTGGGAGATGCTGTGGTACATAAAGTGCCATGATATTGTCTGATGGTCATAATTAACCTAGCACTAATGGTTGTATGAGCAGATGTAATTTTTTTATCTGTATTTAAAAACAAAAAACAAAATTTGTAATTTACATATGTGATTATCTGTATGGATAGTAGTAAGTTACATTATTAGCATAAACACTAACACTGGACAAATAGACACTCACTAATGTTAATCTTGTCTGAAATACACCTCTCTGGTAGCATCTGTCGCTACACTGGCTGTTATTTTTATTGGTCTCTAGTTGACCTTAAAGAAGTAACTGTCCAGCCTGTCTGTTCTCTATGCTGCATAAAAGGCCGAGTTTTTCAAGTTTTCAGTAAGGCAACTTTGAGTTGCTGGCTTTTCAAAAGCATTAATTTACTCAGTAGAAAATATATATTTCATTGTCATAACTCAAATACATAGAGTGTCATTACAAAACAAAATTAATGTTATTGTAAGTATGAATCAAAACGGGTTAAATTACTATAAACATATAATTAAAACATACAAAGCATAAATTCATAATTTTATCATATAAAACTATCAAACATGTATGTATATATTTTTAAGTATCTAGACATACAAAATGACAATGACAACTACATAATACATAATAGTATGGTGGGTGGAAGAGGGAATGTTTAACACCATGCTGCTGGGAAAATGTGATGGTCACAGTAGTACTATGATGTGAAATGTATATACACGTAGATGGCACTGCAAAGGAGTCAATTAGTAGTCTATGTGACCTTACCTGGTTTTCCCCTTTCTTAATTTTTCAGTATTTTTTAAAACATTATTATTATTGACATTATAATTAATAGAGTGTTACTAACAATATTAATAGCAATATGAAATATGATAATGTACTTATCAAAATCAAGGAAAAAAGTAAACAGGTGAGATGTGTCAGGCATTTGATTGACTCCTTGTTGACTAAGTAATTGTGGAGCCATTTATTGTAAATAAAATTAATATACCTAACTCACTGTGGGCATGGTATATACATATATTCCAAAACCAACAGCATGAGTTAAGAGGAAAATATGGGAGGTTTGATTCACTGAAATTTGCTATACGATACCAGAACTACGAATTCAGACTCATTGCATTCAATTCAAGAATGAAATAGGAAAACACAACTGTATGACTGGTTTAGGGAGAGGATAACCTACAAGGGGGCTGATAATGTGGATATGTCTGGAGCAAGCTTGGCAAACTGTACCAAATATAGTAGACACTACATTTGCCTCACTGATAATGAAAAACTTGGGGAGGAAAAAGCCTGTCAGTCTTACACAGGCCTTGTATGAATGTGTCAAATAGTAATGCTTGCACAATATGTGGAAAGTCTTGATTGTGATGAATAGGACTGTAGGGTATATTTGGAAGTAGATACCATGATAGAATTATTTTGCATTATTCAGTTGATCTCAATTCTAGTAGTATTTCTGTGTGTGTATATCTTTGAGTGTGTGTATGTGTGTGGTCTGTATGTATGTGTGTGTGTGTGTGTGTGTGTGTGTGTGTGTGTGTGTGTGTGTGTGTGTGTGTGTGTGTGTGTGTGTGTGTGTGTGTGTGTGTGTGTGTCTGTGTGTGCGTGCATGTGTATTGGTTGATAGGTATGGGTGGGCACGAGTGGTTACACACACCTTACACATGATAACTTGTAGGGAGATTATGTACAATTGTTTTGGATAGTGCATTTTGCTGACTGTATTAAAATACTTATTAAAATTTTCACAGAAGATTTATATTACTGTCTTGCATAACTCTTTTATATAATTTTATATCTCCGTCTATACTGATGGTAGACAACATCGTTAAATTTAATTAAGAAAGTTCAAATCTACTTTTCTCTTTTTGCAGTAAACAGAATGAACAGCTGGCATATTCTGGACAGTCATAATACTGTAAATGGAAATATTCCTCTATTAAGAAATAAGTATATTAAATTTCATAAATTTAAGTTTTGCACATTTCTCTGAATAAAGTATGTACAGAGGAAGTTATTAAGTAGAATGAAACAACTGCTATCACAAGGTTAGGTTTTATTCCAAATGAGAATTGCTACAACACTGTATAAATTATGACGAGAATTGGCAAATGTAAATTCGTGATTGTTCCTTCCACACTCTTCCGGATCAACATACATATAACAAGCAGACAAACATAGTGTTTTTTAAGTCTGAGGTAAAGACAGTAGTATATCAGAGTAAATTAGATGATAAATGAAGAAAAGGGTAGATCACAAAAGAAGAATAGAGGCTATACAAGAATAGGCAGCAAAAGAATAAGGTAGATATGGATAAACAATAACTGTCACGAACTAGAGGTTAAAGGGAGGGATTATTGATTGCATTGAAGCTTTTCAAATAGAGTTAACTAAGAAAGGAAAAGAGAAAAAAAGAAGAAAAAAAAAAAAGGTTTAAATAGCTTGTAACTAGAATTAATGTACATAAATTTGAAATATTCATTATGTGAGTAATTATAAACGGACTGATCCAGTGTTTTTCAGGATCATGGCTACCATACAGCTGCATAAACTTGGAACTTGAAAATATTGTAGTTGACTTATCAAGTTGTGGCTGGAAACCGCTCATACCACATTGCAGTCAAAAATCCCTCAAGGAAAGAAAGGTTTTATTTTCCTTACAAAATCACATAAACCTCCAACACCAGGCACAACACCTCACACCAGTTTCCCAGTAAATGTGTTTTAATTACAATTAGATGAAGTAGTAAAATTATGTAGAAAATATGCCATCATTGTTCTATGATGACTATTATTCACCTTTAAATAGATACAAATATTTCACAATAACAATATTTGTGCAGTGAGACATATTGTCACTTCTCTATGCTGAAATTTACATGTGCTACTCTTTCTTGAGAAAAAAAAACAACAAAATAATATAATAACTGCACATCTAATACTGACCTCATATAAAATCCTACAGTAAAAAATCGGCCACTTTGAAGTGAAGTAGGGAACTTGAGTCCAGCAGCGGTTCATGAACACTACCCATATTTACGATCAGCTTCATGTAGACCCCTGCGAAGTATACTCTTATACATCCACTACTTCTCTAAAGTATCTAGGAATTAAAAATATAACAATTCTTATTGGCCACGAAACCTATAAAAAATTATAAAGCAACATAAAATAACTGCCATATCATATACTAAAATGACCTATGAATAGCACAATAGTGATGGATGACGACACCTCTGATGGCACATAAGATTTTGAGTAATGTGTCAAACATTTATCAAACCATTCACAGTAAATTAGTGATTGACTCTTGGAGATGTAAAAGAAATTATTCTCTGCAGTTATTGTCAACTGGCAATGTTTTTGAAATATACTTATTATAATGATTTGTATGCCAAACTTTTCACAAAAGCTAATGGAGTTCTTTTGTGAAAATAAAAACATGAACATTTCAGAGACATTGCAGAAACACTCATTTTCCAGATAACTTTTATCCTGTGACGACAATTGACATTTTGTCCCCTGACCGGCCATCACACTTACAGGCCGTTGCACAAGGTCAACAAAAATTCAACATTAGAAGGGGTCTATAGTTTATAACACAATTGTATCCCAGAATGGAATTGAGTTACTAAATCCTACTGATCAAATATTAACAATTTGTAATAAGTTTAAATGAAGCAGTGGTAAATTGGTAAAAATGTGTAGTGTATGACAAAGTTGGAACACGAGAGACAACTGTCATGGACATTGAGCACCAAAACCTTTGGAAGTGGACAAACTAGGGCTATTCAAGGCTATAGTTATTTCAGACAAAATATGAACTATCTATGGTCAAATTGAGGATGATGGCAAGTACAACCAAAAATGTTGCTTGCAGATATCATCACCACATGAAATTGTCTTGATAACTCCACATACTGATTATAGAAACAGAGGACTACTCGACCCTATGTATATCTATCCATGACAAAATCTGGTCACTGTGGTCTTGGATTCCGTTTCTGGGACACAACATTAGGTTCAGGTGGCAGTAGTCTCCATCACCTGACCACTACCCAAGAGGATTTGAAAATTTGCGGAGATGAACAAGTTCATAGCAGCACTGTGAACACTTGACACATGTTCTGTGGGGTTGATTTTCTAAAATTGTTTATAAAAACATGTTTACATATTTCCAATTCAATTCTTGGACTGCCTTTTCTGCTTATCACAAAGGCAGCAAATTATGCTGTAAGGTTGATTTGGAGAATGAATTTGATTTCTTTTCTGCTGCAGTAATATTTATTAAATACTGTATTTGAAGTCATAAAAATCTCTCCTCCAATTTTCAAAACCTCTAACAATGAGGTAAAAAATATGGATATAAACGTACATTGAATTTTATAATTCTTTTAATAAAACTAACAGTCCTACAGTCATCTAAAGGAATTTATACATCATAACAAATGCAAAGAAACAAGATTGTAATCTTGTTTTTTCCAAAATTAATACGAATAGAACTAATGGAACTCGAGACCATCCTGTTATTCTTGAGGCGTAATCACTGAGCCCATTTAAGAAACCAACATTTCTTTTTTTCATAGACAAAACAAAATGTTAGGTACTTGGTTGCCACATTTACCCTGAATAGTTCTGCTGCTGCTTACCATGAGAGCAAGCAATGCATTTCAGACTTTCATTCAAGTTTTGGCCTGCTTCAAAAGGAGATACTTCAGTTCATGTTTACTCCTCTTGAGCTTCAGCGCTGGATTGAACTTTTCACGCCACAGTCTTTCTTTCTGATTTACTTATGAGCATGTAATTTTTTTTTTTTTCAACACAGTAGTAGCCGAACGCAGACTAAACTTCAGTATTGAACTTGGGTGGGCAATGCTGTGTTTGGGTTTTTGACAAAAAATGTCACGCGTGTTTCTAGGATCACAGGATTATACAGCTACTCTCTACAACAACAACAATAAAGACCCAAATGTGCAGGCCAGTTGCCAACTTCACCCAGTTGGCCCAAAAAGAATCCACAAATTAATGTGTTCTGAAGAAAATATTGCAACTTCTTCAAGATGAAAAAGTTGAAAATAATTATGGATGACATGAGGTGATTTCAGTACCTTTCAGTGAAAATTGTTTGAGAGGAAATAACAACAGATTATCACAATTGAGAGAGGCACTTTGGGTTAGTAAGTTAACCCCTACTCAAATGTGTAGAGGTTACACTGTTCTACTCGACAGTTTTCACATCCTATAATAATAAGAGATATGATGCATGCTCACATGTCAAAGCCCAACACAGAGCTACAGTATGAAATCAGATTTTGTCACAGCCGTTAACAAACTGCTCAGGGCCATATATCCCTACCCAGATATCATAACTTTATATTTTTGTTAAGCATGACTGTAGCATTTCCTCATACACTTACTTCAATAGGAGTATGACACTTTCCAAGTGCGAGCACAAGATTGATGTCATGTGAAAAGATAACTATTCATTGCCTTCAAAAGACTTTCTATAAGTCTCTATTTCCCATTTATAAAAATGAGTCTTACTGAACAATCGCTGAGGCAAGAATAATGCTAAATATTTCACAGTATCAATCTCTATGGTTTGGGAAGTCCACAACCAACTAAGGGATCGAGACTCCCATGGGGGGAATCCTTCAGGTATACCAACACTGACTTGCCAACTTGTACAAATCCCACAAAACAAAGAAGTAGGTCCTAACAACTATGCCTTGGTTGCCCTACCACATTGACAGTTGCAGATGAAAAAGTTAGGCTCTGGCTCTTTACCTGATGTAACTTCTTATCTGAAAGACAAAGAGATTTAACAGAAAGCTTCATCTGCATATAGGAATGGTGGTGGGCCCAAGAACACATTCCCCCCTTCCAGTAGGGGATATGATCAAAACCATGGGTACAAAATGATTCACAGGTTAAGAAGGGTCCTTCCTTCTTTTCTTCCCCTTTTCTACAAATGTCCATAGAAAACAACAATATGTGATCCTCATCAATGCCTCCCTTAGAAGACCATCCACAGAGCAGAGGTGGCTGGGATGACCCCAAGGACCACACTGAGGACTCTTGCTCTAAAGCCATTAATACTCTCTGAATACACGTATGGGAGAGTTTCCTCAAGAAACTTCCACTAGCTTTGAGAGGCAGGTTGAAGTGGATGAACGAGTACATAATAAAACCACCATATAACAGATTTAGGCTGCTTATGCACACACTTGTTTCTATAAGGGTGAATGGTGATCATAATTTTGGCGTCTAGGAGGCCCGCGTGCCCCTCTTTGGTGCTCAGGTTCAGCATCTTCATGTACTGCTTCCTGTGATGACGAGAGGATATTATGAGCTGCACGGTCCATCTCCTCTGACGTCATATCCAAGGCCTCCGCAATCTCTCGTGAAGTTGTACGTACAAAGTCAGGATCACAGTATTTCCCTAAGCCCTGTTCTACCAGTACCTGTGGAATGAAGTTTAAATTTAGGTACTACTTAGTAAAAATATTTCTGTTGGGTGTAAAAAAAACTCAAAACTGGTCATGTATTCTAACTTCCCAATAATTTTTCCTTTTTAATTCTCTGTGAAAAATAATATCAGGTATTTAGATACAATGTGTGTCACATAAGCATTTGTGTTTATTACAAAGACTATGTATAAAAACAAGAACACTGTATTTCAAACCACTTCTTGCTGCATAATATCTTATTACCCATTTGTGTGATTTTATGTTGTACTGAAAGAGAGAGAGGGAGAGAGAGAGAGAGAGAGAGAGAGAGAGAGAGAGAGAGAGAGAGAGAGAGAGAGAGAGAGAGAGAGAGAGAGAGTGAGAGAGAGAGAGAGAGTGAGTGAATCTTTGCAGCTAGGCAAAAATCAGCAGATCTGAGAGGGGGAATGCTGGTTAGCAGATATTAGAGACCATAGTCTGGTGGAGGGATATGACGAAAACAAGAAAAGATAAAGATGATTCAACAGAGAAGTAGACTATGATATTGGATGTGGAAAAAGATAATCCTGAGCAAGGAGCCCATAACATTCTTTATCCAGTGTAGTCCATAGTACAATAAAAAAGAAGGATTTAATTGACCATATATCTTATTTACCCAACCCTAACATGCTGAAAGAGAGAGAGAGAGAGAGAGAGAGAGAGAGAGAGAGAGAGAGAGAGAGAGAGAGAGAGAGAGAGAGAGAGAGAGAGAGAGAGAGAGAGAGAATGTAGATGAAGGTGTAGGTGCGCACACAAAACAATAAATAAAGAAACAACAAATAAAGGAAACCTCGGATATAAAAATTTCTAAGGCGAAATATCTCATACTTACTTGGAGAAAGTCATCATTAATAGTACTGGAACAAAAAATATTTAGGCTTACCATCTCAAAGAAAAAAAGAAAAGAAAAAAAAAAAAAAAAGAAAAAAAAAATGCTTACCCTCCCAACCAGACTTTCAGCAGAGCCTACGACCTCAGAATAAGGCCTGGAGACACTTCTGGGACTGCTTGGGACACTCTGGGAGTGGCGGTCACCGGGGAGGCTCCCATTGCTCTCACTGTGAGAGGTCGCTGGTGAAAAAGAAGAAAATGGTTATTGGATATCTATTTCTTTAATATATAAACACAACAGTGGAAATATTATTCATGATTAGTAAAAGGGGTGCTGTATGTACTTTTAAGGAACTGTTTTTAATATTATTAATTAAGTACATTAACCTTTCACTACAATGTTATTTACGTTAGGAGTCATCAGTTCTGACCATTCAAATCACTCAGTTTTCCACAATATGTACTCTAAAATAATTTCATAACTGATGCTCCTTTGTTTTTATTATATAACAACTGATCTATTTACTGAAGTGGTGCACTTATCAGCTCAGAATTACCAAAGCTTACTAAACTGATTCATATGTTTGATGTAATGTACTCAGAAATGCTGGATTACTGATATTAAGATGACTTCTCTTTACCTTTTTTCATATTCTTATATACAATATATGAGACTTCAACCTAATGATAGTGAAGAGATTTGGTGACAGTAAAAGCACAAAAACCAAGCCAACAACAATGGGTGAAACTGGTAGATGACAGACCACAGCAGAGCAGCTGGAAGATCCTTATCAGTATGATTGGGAAGGAGATGGAAGTGAATCCTTGTTTCCTTCTCAGAAAATTATTTTAGCAGTAGTTGCACTGCAATCATGAGTATTTGAAATCTTGATAGGTGCTGAAAAATCCATTTCAGAGTAAAAAGGAAAAAAATTGTGGAGAAGAAAAACAAATGTTTGCAGTGAACTTCTTGTGTCTACTGAGCATGCAGTTAGGTGGTGTGAACTTGTGCCTTGTGTTTCTGTCCAGACCTATACAATGTTTGTCTTACAGATGTTAGCTACACACAAAAACAGTACTGATAGTAAGAAGATACCCTGCTGTGATCGTAATGAGGAGCACCATACAATCTCAATATTAGGGGAAACCCACAGCAGTACCTATACTGGGGGACCACCTCCAGTATCTGGAAACCCTTATGGAGTAACGACAAAGGCACAAGTACCCCGAGGATAGTGACAGAGAAGAGAGTTACCTAAGAGAGAGAGACAGGAGGGGAGTGGAGGGGGCACAGCCATTACGGGGTTGGGGGAGTCCGGACACCCCCACAGAACCACAGCACACGTCCCAGTCTAAGGCACCAGCAAATACACCAGCAGAAGGCGAAGACAGCTTAAGAGTTGACACTGATGATGGAAGAACATAGTGGAGATGGTGGAGGCGGAGGTCTGGATTGTGGTTTTGGCTTAGGTTGCAAGGGGATTGTGGTGGACTCTGTGAGGGTTGTTGATGGTGTGGTGGCTGTGGTAGCTGATGATGATGGTGATGGTGGTTATGATCTGAATCTTCTGACAAAAGGCGATGATAATTATAGAACTGCTGATTTTGACAACAGTGGTTATGACTTTTGTGCGGGTGCGGTATTTGTGGCAGGTGACGATGTGTCTGCTTCTGGTGGTGGTGGGTGTGGTAATTTTGGGAGTGATGGGAAGACAGGTGGTGGTGAGAGGACCCAGGGAGACTCTGAGTAGAGGCTACTACCTCAGATACACT